GGGTCGGTGACCGCGCCAGGCCGGAAAGCTGGCGGGGCCGCGCGCGCCCGGGACCTGAGCTCCCTCGGTAAGAGGAGCTGTGCCCTCTCAATGCCAAGTCACGTTTCGGGACCAGTCACCTAAAGCGCGTCGCGGGTCACTGAGCGGAGGTGGAGGAAGAGACCGCGCCAAAAGACTTCGAGAAACTTATCCTGTAACTGCAGCAAGCGGGCGTTCTGCCGAGACCAAACTCTCATGTTTACGTGTTTGGGGTTACAGGGAGTGAAGGTGAGGCATTTGAACCCAGCGATGTAGATGCAAGTTTTGGACTCGCGTGCGTCCTTGCCGGCTGTGTTCCGACTCCCGAACCGCGCCTCCCCCGCAGCTTGTACATGACGCTCCTTACGCTGCCAGCTCTCAATGCCGCAGACTGAACTCGCCCATTGAGGACGAGATGCTGAGGCCAGAATGGAGGAAAGTCTGTGGATAAGAGTTTGTTTAAAATGCGGCAGAAAAAGGACTCCTAGGTATGGATCAGTTCCTTGCGGATCAGAGAGGCAAACCTGTGGGCTTCAGGGGACTTCATAGGGGAGGCCATGTTCGAGGTGAGAGTCAGAGATCTACAGTTTTAGGGGTCAGAGTTGCAAGGAGAGGGTCTTCAAAGGGTGGCCCACTGATTTGCTTTTCACATATGTGAAAGATACGGCTGACGCCCTGAAAGCCCAAGGCAGCCCCAGGTTCCCCTGTGCTGCTCAGACTCCCCTTCCAGGAGGTGATGCCGCAGGTATTACCTCTCTCCAGGGTGTTTCTTCCCCTGCCGGGTAAGACTGAACCAGAAGATCTCGAAGGCTTCCTTTCAGCACACTTATTTTCTGAACCCCACAACAGAGTAAACAAAGCTACAGCGTCCAGAGAATAAAGAGCCTGCTGAGTTCCAATAGAGCAGGCCCTTCCCTGGCCGGGCAGTGGTGACACACGAGGCTGGAGGAGGCCTGGAGGGAACTGGTGCCACAGAAGCCTAAGGCTAAGGGCTTTGGCCTTATCTTTGGCAGCACCTGCAAATCACTGTAAGTTTATGACCAGGCAGTAACGAAATCAAGATTGCATTTTAGGAACAATTTCAAAGAGGATAAGGCTGAAAGGAAGGGGTGTCACTTGGCAAACTGGTACCGCAGCAGAAGTGGGCCTGAAGGAGTTGCCAGTGAAAGGTGGAAGGGATCCAAGGGATACCACGGAGAGAAATGGCTAGGGCACAGAGTGGCCAGAGCCTGCAGCTGACTGGCAGAGAGGGCATGGAGGGTGGGCCAGGGTCTCCAGACGACATGGTGGCATAGCAGGGACAGAAGCATCAAATGGAGAAAAGCCACTTAGGAAGGCTCTGTCCCTACCAGGGAAAATGCCAGCAAACCCAGGAATCAAGAGAGGACTCCAGAGATCTCTTTCTTCTTACAAATCTAGTGGATAAGGTCCTTCATCTGTCCAAGAACATGTTCCCAAGGAGGAGGTCTGCTCAGACAGATCCAGTCTGCACCTTACCCAGATCTGATCTGTACCATTCCAGTGGCCACAGTAAACACTCCTTTATAGACACTGAAGGGATCGAGCTGGGTTTCCCGCTTCTTTACAGGCCACGTGACAGGAAAGAAACAAAGGGCACCATGGGTATTGCTTCAAAGATTCATGCAGTCAACAAATATTTAATGAGTGCCTACAATCTACCAAGCACTGTCGTACTGCTTCAGGATGTCAGTGAACCCATAGACATATTATACAATATCTTATGTGCTTTATATAAAAAAAAATGGACCAGCAGTTAGCATAATGACTATGTCGCTGGACTCCCATGTAGTCAACTGTGGTTCAAGTCCTGGGCCCAGTGGCTTAAACTCACATGTGGTGTGTGTGCGTGCATGCCCCAAGACCCCGAGAGGAGAATGGAGGAGAAGGGATTGCAGCGTGGTCATCCCCCCTGGGGGATGATTTCTCGCTTTCTGTCTCTCTGTCTCTCTCTGTCTGTCTGGCGAGCGCATGTGCCCTATAGCAAAAACCTCTCCAAAAAAAAAAAAGAAAAAAAGAACCGTCCTTACTGGAGGGAGGACCCTGAAAGAGCCTTCATTAGGGTGCTGCCAAAGTTCTGTGTCATGATCTGGGTAGTGGTTATATGATTGTAGACACATGTGAGTTCATTAACCTGTATGCTTAAGATTTGTGTTTTAAACAATAACATAAATAATCAAAATCAAGCAGGGTTAAGAGAGTAAGAGTGGGAGGACGAGTCATGATTTAAATATGGTGGTCAGGTGGGATGCTTGAAGAGTTGCTTTTGAAAAAAATCTCACACCAAGGTGGTGTTTCACCCCATAATAGATGAGATGGGTTCTTTGAAAACTCACCTTACTTAGACCCCCATCAGGCCAGGGCACAATCAAACCTGATCCTAGTGGGTCGTCCTAAGGTAAGCCTTCTACACCTTCTCGGGCTTTCAGAAGAGATTTGAAAGCATGCCAGCTGAAGTTGCTGATAAAGGAAGTGGCTCACCTGAAAGTCCTGACCCTTGTCCTCAGCAAGAACCATGACGAATGTTGCGATGCTTTGTCAGATCAGTTGTTGGAAATGTCTCAAGCACGCAGCAAGGATTGATTCTGAAATATGTCTTCCATGCTTCACTGAGAGATGGCTTCTTTCTCCTGGTAAACTCTGATACCACAGGCAGTGGCAATTCTGAGATGGAATCAACACTCTGATTTGTTTTGAAGCCCCTCCCATTCAGTAACCAACACCTCTGTCTTGCAAGCTGCTGGAATAAATGACAGAGCTGAACAGAAGCAGGGTTTCTGAAGAGAGTCGCAGTGCTTTTCAGCATTGGTCATTTCCTGCGACTGGTTCTTTCTTCTCTTTTTCTTGGCAATACTCTGTGTGTATTTACATGGTGTGGGTAGAAAGGCTGCGGACGTTGCCAAGAAAACTAGCTCAATTTTACTGAAAAATTATTTCCTGGAATTTCTTTTTGCTACAAGATGAGAACCAAGGGATAAATGGTATGTTTAAGGGGAGACGATACAGCCTGCATTCAGTTCTTCATTAAGCGCTGAGGTCATTTAAGCGAAAGCATTAATGCCAGTGGAAAGGTATTCGTGGCGCACTAGGTGCTACTGCAAGCCACACTTGGCAGGCAAGAGAACTCAGTTGGAAGGCAAATTCTTCACAGCCACCATGTAGACTGGTTCCAGATGCTTTTTTTTTTTTTTTTAAGTTGTGTTTTTTTTTTTTTTTTTTTTTAAGTGTTGTTGTTTTTTTTTTTTTTTTTTTTTTTTTTTTTGCCATGGAGTGTGTGTACTTGCTGAAGAGGAAACAGTGAGAGGGAAATTACCCTCCTGAGGGGATGACCACCCCACAATCCATTCTCCTCATGGGATTTTTGGGCACACGTGCACACACACCCAGTGTGATTTTCAAGTCTCCTGGTCTGGGACTTGAACCACAATTGGCCCTATGGTAGTCCAGCACCTTAACCACCATGCCACCTGCTGGCCCCTGGCTTCAGTACTTCAACATGATAAGAAGCTACATCTTGGGACCAGCAGTTAGCATAATAGCTATGTTGCTGCACTCCCATGTAGTCAACCGCAGTTTGAGTCCCGGACCGGGTGGCTTAAAACTCACACCGGACGCGTGTGCGTGTGTGCCCAAGATCCTGAGAGGAGAATGGAGGAGAAGGGATTGCAGTGTGGCCATCCCTCCTGGGGGGGTGATTTCTCGCTTTCTGTTTCTCTGTCTCTCTCTGTCTGGCTAGCGCACGCGCCCTATAGCAAAAACCTCTTTAAAAAAAAAAAAGAAGCTACGTCTTATGTGAATCTGTCTTTGCAGAAGTGACATTACAAGCTTCAAATGGGCTGCTTCACTTTCTTTCAAGTGGTATTTAAAACGTGATATAGTCTGTTGTCTCTAGCACAAATGATTTTCCAAATCCCTTCTGAGTATTAGACTTTCCACCTACCCACTGAAAGACTTTTTTTTTCTGACCAACACTTTAAAATAAGAAACTGGAGGGACAGGAGCTGGTGTGGTGGTGAAGGTGCTGGATTCCCACACAGCTGACTGTGGTTTGAGACTCAGACCTGGCAGCTTAAAAATCACACTGGGCGTATGTGCATGCATGCTCGAAATCCCAAGAGGAGACTGGAGGAGAAGGGATTGCAGTGTGGCCATTGCCCCTGGTGGGTGATCAGTTTCACTTTCTCTGTCTTTCCCTGGTGAGTGCATACCCCTATGCAAAAAACCTAAAAATTAATAAGAAATTGGATTGCAACAAAAGCATTCAACATCAAGTAACTAAATGTGTCTCAATTATTATATTTTGGCAATCAGCGAGGCTCAATGGGCATGAGATACTAGAGGAGGTCTTCTTCCTGGCGTGCTAGTAACATTCACTGCTCTTTCTTTCACAGTCATAAATACATAAAAATACAGGATTCACCTGCAGTTCTTGTCTACGAGGAGATTTTAATAAGTTACTTCGCATCTATACAGAAACACAATGAACATTACGTGGACCTGATGTTGATAATGTAACATTCATTAACCTTAATTATTATCATTAATTTTGATATTTAATGAACAATTTCTCAAAATATCTTGTGACTATTGTCAGCATATGTTGCCATGTTTCCATGTAGTTATAAGAAGTTTGTATGTATTATCTCGTGTTCTGTTTTCATTACTTCCCATTGTGCCAGAAACCACACTTACCTTTCCAACTTCCTTCCTCATCCTTCCTGACCAGCGCCCTAAGCTCCCTGCATTCCAGGCTGCTTTTGATTCAGCAGATTCCAAAGCGCATTTGTTATAGATGTTCCAAATGCCCTACCTTGTCTTCCTGCTTAAGTCATCCTTCACTGCTTGGTTCCAAAGTGGCTCCCTCTGCCAAAGCTTTGCCCGGTCTCCCCAGACAGTAGTTTCCATAGGGTTTTGCACCGAGCTTCTAGGGAAAGCATTCCATCATAGTCTCACTCCTCATCTGGCTCATGCCCCACAGCACAGTGTGCACTTTGAGACCCCAAATTGGGGCATATTATTTTTGGTCCTTCCTGATAGACCATTGCTCTGACATTCTGGATACTTATTCTTCTAGAATGAATAAATGAATGATCTGCATAGTCATAATTCTCAAACTGTGTTTTGTTTTTTTCCGGCTGCTAATTGCTTCAGTCACTTGCTATTATTGGGTACGTATGCATCTACCAGATTGGTTTCCAAAGATACCTCATTAAACACAACCTAGCACTACTTCAAAGGGCTTTTTAAAATTTTATGTATTTTTACTTCTTTCACAGTGGGATCGTCTCATACCACAATTTCCCCCACCCTGCATCCTAAGCCTTCCAGCAAGCCAGGATAATGCTGGATAAGGTTGAGCTTGGATTTGAACCCTGGCCTTCCATGTGGCTCCAGGATCTCAGAGCAGCACACTAACAGTTGTGCTACAAAGCCTGGGCCTTAAATGTCTTCTAAAGTCCTAGATCTCTCTGGTTTCTACTTTTGGCAGATTGTGACCTGACCTTTTTACTTCATTCTACAAAGTGTGCCTCCAGTGCAAGAGTGGCCTTTTGTTTTATTAAAACTAGAGCATGAGCAATCACCAAGACTTTATTGCTGTCACTGGAGCAATAACAACAGTGGTATTTAATTCTTCCATGAAGTTATGAAGTTACAGGAGCCTGTGGTGTACATGAACACTGCCTTCCTTATTTTCCTAAATGTCTAGTGCACTGGAATATTTTTCCTCCCAATACAAGAAAAGTAAATTAAATACAAAATAAAACAATGAAAAGCAATTTTTCATGTATTATATTGGCAGAGATTGTAGAATGTTTAATTCTGGTGTTATACACACTAGCAGTGTTTATGAAGAAGCAGGTGCTCCTACACTGTTGGGAGGTGTGCACATCGTGCATCTTCTTTGAAAGGAAATTGAGAAATGCATAACAATTTTAAGCATACTTCCCTTTTGCCTCAAGAATTAATGTCTAGGAATTAATCCTAGAGATGTACTTGAACACTTATGTGAAGGTCAATGTATACATATGTCCATTGCTGCATATCATCTCTTAAAAAAAAAAAAAAGAAAAACAGAGCTAAGTGTCTATGAATAGAATTTACGGGACCAGCAGTTGGCGTAATGGCTATGTCACTGGACTCTCGTGTAGTAAACCATGGTTCGAATCCCAGACCCAGTGGCTTAAACTCACGCCAGGTGCATGTGCATGCATGCCCAAGATCCTGAGAGGAGAATGGAGAAGACGGGATTGTGGTGTGGCCATCCCCCCTGGGGGGTGATTTCTCACTTTCTGTCTCTCTATATCTCTATGTCCTTCTGGTGAGTGCACGTGCCATATAGCAAAACCTCTCCAAAAAAAAAAGGAAAAAATAGAGGTTACATTGGGACCAGCAGATGGTGTGGTGGCTATGTTGCTGGACTCCGACGTAGTCAACTGTGGTTTGAATCCCCCACTTACTTTGTCTCCCATGATTCTATCATTAATTCAGTGCTAAAATTTCTCACATACCTATAAAGACTTGCAGTATGGCCAAACACAAAACTTTTATTTTGTTTTTAGAGAGAGATTTTTGCTGTAGGGTGCCTATGCTCTCTGGAGAGACAGAGACAGATAGACAGAAAGCAAAAATATCAGCCCTCATGGATTGGCCATGCTGCAATCCCTTCTCCATTCTCCTCTCAGAATCTTGGGCATGCATGCACATGCACACACACTTGGTGTGAGTTTCAAGCCACCAGGTCCAGGACTTGAACCACAGTCAATTATGTGGGAGTCCAGTGCTGTAACCATTACGCCACCTGCTGGACCCTATCGATTTACTTTTTTTTCCTTTTGAGGACATTCCCTGCTATATGCTTCTGTCCTCTTGCTCCAGTGTGGATGAATTGCTGTCCTACCAGACGTGCATCATCGTCATCCTAGGGATTCTCTTTACCTCTCTCTTCCACATCCTTTTTGTTGTACTTGCTGGTTTTGGTGAAGCACATCTGGAAAGGGGAACATGAGAAAGATATGCTTTTGAGGTCTGCTGAATTGCTTAGTATTATGGTTTGGATAATGATTTGTCCCTCAAAAGTTCGTGTTTTAGAACTCAGTCCCCAATGCTAAGGCATTGGGAGGTGGAGAAATCTAGTGGGCAGTGATTGGATCATGGCGCTTGGATGATGGAGGCATTGGCTTCAGGAATAATGAATTAATCCTGTCTCATGAGAGACAGAAAGAGAGAAAATGAGAAATCACCCTCAGAGGGGATGGCTATGCTGCAGTCCCTTTTCCTCCATTCTCCTCTCAGGATTTTGGGCACCCACTCAGAAGAGCCAGGCATGTTTCTCAAGCTGCTGGGTCCAGGACTCGAACTGTGCAGTTGGCCATGTGGGATCTGGCTGCCTTAACCACCAAGCCATGAAGCTGTCCATGCATATATTTTTAAAAACAACAAAAAGTTTGAAAGCCAGCAGGTGGCATGGTAGTTAAGGGATTGGACTCCCACATGGCTGACTGTGATTTGAGTCCCAGACCTGGTGACTTGCTTTCTCACTATTTATCTCTCTCTGGTGAATTAAAAATAAATAAATAATCATGAATAAATAAAATTAAAGAAGTAATTCTTTTAGAAAAGTTTTATATTTCATTTCTCAGCTCCACTCACCTTTATACAACTAATTGGCCTGAGGTGACCTTCCAGCAGTGGAATATCTGTTCCCCTCTGAAGTCTTTCACAGTCCCTGGAGCCCTGGTCTTACCCAGTGCCACAGGGGGCCTTGTCTGGGCCTGTTCTCTTCACATTTTCTTTATATTCAAAACTTACTAAAGTCACTGCTTACCTTTAGAGGTAACTACTCATAAATTGATCCATGAAGAGGAGCTAATAACTGGAAACACAAACTCTCCTTACACGGAATGTATAGGGACTTAATCACAGTTTTCAATATTTTATCCTAAATGAATGAGTAAAAGGTGAGAATTTCATGGTAGGAAATGATGAAAAAGACATCCACATTGTTCACCCTATGAATTGTATTTCCTAGCCCCCTGTTCCTTGTAAGTGAGAGCCGGAGATCACAAAAAAGTTGCTGGCCAGCCCAGCTAAGCACTACGTGGAAGGAGATGGATCGCACATGGCTGACCACGATTTGAATCTCTATTCTGGTGGCTTGAAAAACATGCCACGCCTGTGTGCATGCACACCCAGAACCCTGCTGGAATGAAAAAATGGAGGAAAAAGGGATTGCAGCCTGGCTGCACGCCAGTATAACCACACCCCAATGGAGGTTGCTTTCTTTCCCTCTCTGGTGAGTGTACACACCTTTTGACAATAAAAGACAAAAAAAATTGGAACATTTTCTTTATTCAAAGATAGAACAAATGGGAGTGGTATAAAACCATCTTTTTCTTGGCTGTTCAAAGGATTGCCGGAAATAAGTCGTTACATGTTTAACGTTGATTTGTACACTCGGCCCGTGGCGTCCGCAGGTTCCACATTCGTATTATTGCTGATGTATACTATGTGGTTAGGCCTGAACGGTGGTTGTCTGTATTGAACACACACAGAGTTATAATAAGAATTGTTCATTCCTTCTGTGAACAAGAGAGACAGAGAGAACAAAACCTTCAACAGGGACTTAGCACTGTGTTTCAGCCAGCTTCAGATCATGGGTACACGCATGCCCAACATTGTCAGGGAGGTCTCTGGGCATGAACCTGGAACTTCCCCAAGTGACTCAGCCTTTCTGAGTGTCACATTTTACCACTCTGCCCCTGTTCAGCCCCTAGACTTTGTCATGACTTCCTAAACAATACAATATAACCACTATCTCCACAGCATGTGCGTTGTATTCAGCAGCGTAAGTAATCTAGACAGTGAGTGTGTGGGAGGGTGTATGGGGGGGATACGTGCAAACACTGCCATTTTCTATAGGGGGCTTGAGTGTCTCTGGATTTTAGTAGCCATGGTGGCCTGGAACCAATCCCACATGGATACCAAGGGACAATTGTACCATGAAATCTCCCATTCCTCTGTAGCTTTGGATTGCCCAAGGAGTTACCAGGGCATTGCTTCTCGAAAGGCATTTTAGTGGCACTTGGTCTCTCCGTTAGTACGGGACTAATGCATCCCCCCATCCCCAGCATTTTCTGTCCTTTGCCCCTACAGAACAGCATGTTACTACTATAGAATTTGCATCTGAGTGGCAGAAACTCATCTGTCTTACACTTCCCTGGCCTGGCCCTCACCTGATAGCCCAGAGTTCCCCAAAGTTTTTCAAAGATCAGACCATCCCCCCCCCAGACCAGCGCCTGAGTACTCACAGCTGGTATGGGTAGATGCCAGGAGCATCCCTCATTTCTTCTCTGCTCCTATCACTGCCTCAGAATAAGGCACATCTGCCACAGCTTTCTATAAGACTGCCACCCACAGCTTCCTGGAGTTTAATGCAAAGAAACCTGATCCTGGGTCTACAGGAGAAGAAGGGGGGAGGGAAGTACGCAGGACATGCCTCTCATCCCTCTTTCATCTCGTAGGTCTGTCAGTAGGGTCCAGAGCAGGCTCTGTGGGCTCCAATATCTTCCAGCATCTTTTTTGTTTGTTTGTTTTTTAATATGCCAGAGGATTCACTCCTTGACAGAGAGAGAAAAGGAAGAAAGGGAGGGAGGGGCCTGGTCATATGACCTGATTCCCCATCCTGTCAGGGTCCTGGGCATGAATATATGTCCAATATATTTTTCAAATCTCCAGGAACAGGACTTGAAACCTGGGCAGTCACATGGGTTCCAGCTTCCTCTACACAGAGCTTGACTGCTATGCCATGGGGCTCACCCTCCCAGCATCTTTAGAACTCAAGAAAAACCCATAAGGACAAGGAATGGAGCTAACAGATAAAAACCACACTGTGTGCGGAACGACTTTGTCCTCCGGGTTGTTAAGGATTTGCTCCTGTGTAACGCCTGTGGCCTTCATCTCCATTCCTTGGGGTGAGACCTTTCCAGGATGTTCCTCATAGTCACGTGTACTCAGAATCATAACTGACTCTTCTTCCTCCATCCACTGATAGAAATGAATTCCAGTTATTTGTAACACACAAAATCTTGCGTTTGAAGGGATACTTCACTGGGAAACTACCTTGAAATCCACGTGGATGCAAATCTATTAATAAACACTCCATGCCATCTGATCGTAGGCACCTGATCAAGAATGACTCAAAGTCCGTCGCGTGAGTCAAAGATTCCTGCGCTCTCCTGAGGCTCAGCACCTCAGTCCGATGCAGGTACATTCCCGATGACTCACGTACAGAACAGTTTCTAAAACCTGTAGACAATCAAATGCTGACAGGTGGTTGTGTCTGCTGTAGTGTGATGAACAGAACGGAGGTTTTCAAGTATTTTTCTACCCACTTTTTAATTTTTTTTGGCATTTTTAGGAAACTATAACATCTCAAAACAGGAGAGTCATGTACAAAACAGACCCTAGGAGCTGACTTAACTGGCCCATTGCTGGGACTACAGAGGCAGGTTTACATCGAAGCAAAAGACACTAACGTTTTGTCCCTAATTTTGTATTCTTATTTACTTTTTTTTTTCCCCAGAGATTTTTGCTATAAGATGCATGTGCTCACCAGAGAAACAAAGTGAGACAGAGAGATGGAAGGTGAGAAATCATCCTCCAGGGGGGATGGCCACACCGGATTGCTTCTCCTCCATTCTCCTCTCGGGATCTTGGGCACGCACGCACATGTAGCCAGTATGAGATTGAAGCTTCCAGGTCTGGGACTCAAACCACAGTCAGCCTTCTGGGAGTCCAGTGACATAATCATTGCACCATCTGCTGGTTTCCTAATTTTGCATCTTACTTTTGTAATTTTTTTCTTAAAGAATTCTCCCCTTTTCAATACATAAACTTCAGGTCCTATAATACCTGGTTTCATACCTGGTAGGGCCCTTTGTCGTTGCCTCTTCAGCCCCTCCAAGGATGCCTGGTTCTCTATAGAACAAAAAACCACCTGTGACTCCTGGATGTGGGACTCAGGAGACAGGGCCTGAGCCTGTGCTTGCTACTGGCTGTTGGTGTGTCTCAGTCAGGCTACTTGGGCCTTCTCAAACTCTGTCTCATCATCTAAGATGTGTGACCAGCTGATCTTCAGGGACCTTTCCAATCTGAGCCTTTTGTTCTAAGTTCACTGGTGCCATGTCCTACATTCTCCTACCATAGCTTCCATTCACAGACTTATCCTTCCCTGGGAAAACTGTGGCTCTGACATCTGGGTCCCGCCTAGGCTCAACCTGGGCCAACCTTCTCTAAGCATGGACTTCAGTCATCATGAGGGGAAGCTCTCTCTTCTCCCCATGATTCAATATCTTCTCTCCAGCTAGAGGAAAGAGAAACAACCGTAGCTCCCCTTGTTAACCCCTCCAAGTCCGTCTTTCTTTTAAATAAAAATCCATGTTCTTTCTTAGCAGCATCACTCTTCAGTGGTGAAATTTTAGGCAGCAATTGCATTCAAGTCCAAGGAGAAGAACCAACTTGAGCTCTTGAAGCAGGCATTCTTTCAGAGCCCAACAAGTCACGAGGGGCCATTGCTTATTGATTTTCTGGTAGCAAGAGACTGACCCAGTTTGGAGGGCACAGGGGCCCCCTAAACATGGGCACAAGGAAGGCTCTAACTCACTGAGTGTCATTTGCATTAACAGCTATGAAGATAGTCAGTAATGTGGAGAAACTTTGGTTGCCCACCCCAACATCCATCTTCCTCTTCCTCCCTAGTCTCATACTATCTACATCCATCTATTATCTATCTATATCTATATCATCCATCAATCTATCATCTATCTCTATCTATATAATCTATCTCTATCTATCTACCATCTATCATCTATCAATCTATCATCTCTATCTATATAATCTATATCTATCTACCATCTATCATCTATCAATCTATCATCTCTATCTATATAATCTATATCTATCTATCTATCATCTATCTATCATCTATCTATCTATCATCTATCTATCATCTATCTATCTATCATCTATCTATCATCTATCTATCTATCATCTATCTATCATCTCTCTATATCCACATCTATCATCTATTTGCCAGAGTAGGGGAGTACCTACCAGAGAGAGCTAGAACCCCTAAGGAACATGGCCACGCTGCAATCCCTTCTTCCCTCCTCCATCCTGTTAGGATTTGGGCACTCATGCACCTGCACTGGCATGTTTCTCAAGCCTCTGGGGTGGATTCACACTACAGTCAATCATATGGGATCCAGTTCCTTCAGGGGACAGCAGTGTACCCAGCTGAAGGACCCCACAACCCAGTCTCCTTTCAGCTGAGTGTGGCCAGATGTTGAAGTTCTGACCAAGGAAGTATAGGCCAAATGTTAGAGGAGATTTCTAAGACTGCTCTAAAAGTCAGACAATACGCCCTTTTCTTGGCCTCCTGGTATGCAGTGCGGTCATAATGCTTACAGAGATGGTCTCCATCTTGCAGCTTAAGGGATTTTGCAGAAGGAAGCCAGAGGAGGGTAGACCAGAAAGATAAAAGGAGCCTAGGTCCCTGACGCTGTCCTGGCTCCACTTCATCAGCCAAGATGACTTCATTTCATGAGGAGATAACTATGTGTTTAGGCCAGGACCTCTCAGTTTGCTGTCAGTCACAGCTGATTTGTCCTTGTTGTAACGGTAAGACTAAACTTTCCATCTTTTTTTCTTTAAGAGGTTGTTGCCTTAGGGCACGTGCACTAAGAGAGAGAGACAGAGACAATGAAAGGAGAAATGAGAAGTCAGCACCCAGGGGGGATGACCACACTGCAATCCCTTCTCCTCCATTCTCCGGAGATCTTAGGCATGCACACATATATACCTGGCATGAGGTTCAAACCACTGGGTTTGGGTCTCAAATCGCAGTCGGCCATGTGGGAATCTAGCGACATAATCACTCCACCATCTGCTGGCCCAACTTTCCACCTTTTATTTATTTATCTTTGAAGAGAGATTTTTGCTATAGAGTATGTGTACTTGCCAGAGAGACAGAAAGTGAGAAATCATCCCCCATGGGGGGTGGCCTCACTGCAATCTCTTTTACTCCATTCTCCTCTTGGGATTTTGGGCACAGACACACATGCGCCGGGTGTGAATTTTAAGAGGCGAGATTTGAGACTCAAAGCACGGTTGACTACATGGGAGTCCAGTGACGTAACCATTATGCCATCTGCTGGTCCCCTTTCCATCTTTTAAAAAAAGAGTTCAGCAAATAAAATACTGGGTTGTTGGAAAAGTCATGATGCTTTTTTGCATAGAAAACTAGAAAAAAACATGTCATGACCTTTTCAACAACCTAACAGATCAAAGTTTATGTGAGGTGATAACAACCATAAAATTCTCAGCCACCCACCTATTTCATGCAGGAAGACATGAGGCCAGAGTGGAAGGAGAGACAGAGTGAAGCAAAAGCCACAGCACAGGCGAGGTTGCCCTTGAACAGCAGAGGCAGATGCAACTTGCTCCAGTGAAATATAAATGCTTTGTATGTGATGGTCTGTAATGCCAAAAGACACTTTGTAGCTGATGGTGGACTCCCACCCGAGGAGCTTTAAGGAAATCTAAATACGTTTCTTCAAGATAAAGTCATATGTAATTTATATTATGTGTGTATAATACAATAGGGTTTGTAATAGAATAAAAGTAGAATTTGTAATTGAAAAGAAACTAGAAACGTTAGCATGTATTCGTTTTCCAAGATTGAATTCTATGCTATGATATATATATCCTGAATTCTAGAAGTTCAGACAATGATTCTATGCTATGATATATATATCCTGAATTCGAAAAGTTCAGACAATATACTGAAAGGCAAAAACAAAAATTAGAAACACCTTAGTCTCAGGACTTGTGGATTATGGTTTCTCCCTCACAGGTAGAAGATGAGAAGTCAGTCAATCAGGAGATGTCACCCCTGTGCCTGACAAAGAGTTGTTTTGGAAGGAAGACATGCCCAAAGCTTGAGCAATGCCGAAGTGACTGTTGCTCCGGGAAGCATGACGTCATCCTCTGCTGATTCACGTGCTTTGCTCCCTGCGGTAGCTGACTCCGCAGTTCTCTCCGACTGACCGCAGTTTCGGCACAAGCTCCTGTGGCAGAGCTGGGGAGACAACTGGTATACAAGACTGGGTGCTTGCCCTGAAGGGGTTGACAGCCTCGCAGGAATGTGGATCAGGAAACTCACAACCAAAACTCAGTAGGATAAGTGCTCTCAAGAGACAGAGCAGGTGGGAGGACAAAGGACAGGCCCTGACTCACTCTTGGAAGTCCCAGAAGGCTTCTTGGAGAAGGTGACATTGAAAGAGAGATGTGGAAGATGAGTAGGAGTTTCTGTTCTCCCTTAGTCACTGCTCAGTGATGGTTGCTGTCATGTGACAGTTGTTCTCTCCAGATCCAGAGTGAAGAAGTTAGCACTGAGGGGGTTAGAAAAACAAAATGTTGGGACCACCAGATGGCGTAATGGTTATGTGATTGGATTCCCACATAGTTGATCACAGTTCAAGTCCCGGACCCAGAGGCTCAAAACTCACACCACGCACGTGTGTGTGTGTGTGTGTGTGTGTGTCCAAAATCCCAAGAGGAGAATGGAGAAGGATTGGGGCATGGCCATCTCCCCTGGGGGATGATTTCTTGCTTTCTGTCTCTCTGTTTCTGTCTCTCCAGCGAACACACATATTCTATAGCAAAAATCTCTCTCTAGAAAAGAAAGAAAGAGAGGAAGAGAGGAAGGAAGGAAGGAAGGAAGGAAGGAAGGAAGGAAGGAAGGAAATAAGAAAGAAAATACCCTTTCTTTTTTTCCTGGAAGTTTGCAGGCAGTACTCCCTCATTTGTTCTGGAAGGAGTTAGAGGTCAAGGTCAGGGAGTGTGCTTAAAAGCCAAGGATATTTTCTTCCCCTGAGGATGCTTGGTCAAGAAATGTCAATCTTGGCGTCTTGGGGGGCCTGCCCATTGGGCTATTCTGGCAGCAACAGTAATACACACAGAGGACTCTCAAAAGTTCATAGAAAATGAAATTAAAGTATTATTTTATTTTAAAAAATTTACCATGCATAATTTCTTCATAATAAGGAAGTCCATGAATTTTTTAAAGAATTATTTTATTTAACATTATTTATTTATTTATTTATTTTAAGTAGACAGGAGAGGGCCAGAGTGAGAGAGAGAGAAAGAGAGATAGAGAGAGAAAGGGAAAGTGAGAAAACAAGTTTCCAGGTCCGGGACTCAAACCATGGTCAGCCATGTGGGAGTCCAATGCCCTTAACCATTATGCCACTTGCCGACTCCATATTCATGAACTTTTAAAGTTCCTGCATATAAATACAGTAAGAATGTAGATACTAATATTTATAAAATATCTCCTAAAACCAGACACATTAAAAAAAATTTACCATAAGCTCACTGGAGAGAGACAAAGGGAGGGGGATATAGAAAGAAAGCGACAGAGAGAGAGAAAGCACTCCCCAAGCGAGTTGACCAGACCACAATCCCTTCTCCTCCATTCTTCTCTCAGGATTTTGGACATATATGCACATGCCTCCAGCATATTTTTCAAGCTGCTGGGTCTGGGCCTAGAACTGCAAAGTTAGCCACGTGGTGTCCAGCCACCCTAACCACCACACCACTGGCTGGCCTTAACCAGACACTTTTACAAACACTATCTCATGTCATCCTTGTAATCATCCCACATGGAAGGTATTCTTAGCTCCATTTGCTGATGAGATCAACAGAGCTGAGATAGTATAAATAAATAACTCGTCCAAAGCTACTTTGGACAGAGGACGCCTTCTGTCTCAGGCCTGTTATAGTCTCGGTTCTAAGATTTTTCCACTAAAGCCAGGCAGTTTCTGGAATCCAGAGCACAGATCTCTTCCATCAAGTTGCTAGATAAGTTCTTGTTCACAGACGCCAAGTAAACACAGCAAAAAGAGCAACAAGTTTATGCTGCAAGGAAAACATAAACCGAGGATTGCAGGGATGTGGGGAGATTAGATCAGGACCGGGCCTTGGGGAAAGCTGCCTGCTGTTGGCGGTTATCAAAGAACCTCCTCACCCTCACCCGTTGTCGTTGGGTTCTTATTGGCTGCTCGAAGTGAGTTCTCACATTGCTAAATGGAACCAAGTGTTTCCTTTGGGATTTTCTTACATTATTTTATTTCAGGGTGTGAACCTTCTCATTGGAGTCCAGCAATGAGCCCATTGTTCATGTCCTTGGGTGGATTTTTTATTTTTTAACTTTTAAGGCAACTATACTTCTTCCGGGAAAAACTGGTTACCAGAGCCATCCCCAGAGGGCTGGTTGCTTTTGCGTGTTGTTACTGAGGCGTTTCCACCCAAAGGTTCTCTGTCACTTTGAGGTCACCTGCAAGCACGAGAACCAAGCTGATTGGTGACCTCATCTCTTGGGACCTGGTCCAACAGCTTTGAGCTTCATCATCACCGTGCAGTAGCCGACTACTTGCTAACATAGTTATGGCATTAATAATTCTTTTTCAAACCAGGAATTTCCTAGTGAACCTTACATGGGAAAAGGCTGGCGGATCAGGGCTAGCAGTGGGTCATTTTGATCTTACAGAGGACAGTCTAGAGGAGTGAATTTGTCCTACTTGCTAGATTTCTTTCACTCTGATATACTGATTATATCTTCTGTAATCAAAACAGCTGATCCCTGTCTGTTTTATACAGAGATAAGTTAATCTTTTTTTTTTTTTTTTTTTTTTAGAGAGAGATTTTTGCTATAGGGCATGTGCACTCGCCAGAGAGAGAGACAGAGAGACAAAAAGCAAGAAATCACCACCCCCCCCTTCCATTCTCCTCTACGGATTTTGGAAATGCACACACACACATGCCCAGTGTGAGTTTTAAGCTGCCAGGTCTGGGACTCAAACTGTGGTGAACTACGAAGTGGGAGTCTAGCGATGTAACCATTACGCCATCTGTTAGTCCCCAGAGATAAGTTTAATTAAAAAAAAATGTTTTGGGTCAGCAGGTGGTGTGGTGGTTAAGGCACTGGACTCCTACATAGTCAACCATGGTTTGAGTCCTTGACCTGATGGCTTAAAAACTACCCCAGGCACGTGTGCATGCGTGCCCCAAATCCCAAGGGTAGAATGGAGAAAAGATTGTGGCATGGCCATCCTCCCTGGGAGAAGGGGAGTGCTTTCTCACTTCTTCCCCTCTGTCTCTCTCCAGTAAGCACACACACCCTATTGCAAAATCCTAAAAAGAAAATGTGTCTATGTGTAATGAAATATTGTTCTGCCTTAGAGAGGTAGGAGATTCGGACACATGGAGGAACTTGAGGATGTTACACTAAGTGGAACAAGCCATCCCCAAAGGACACATGCTGTGTGATTCCACTTACCTGAGGTACCCCAAGCAGTCAGACTCATGGAGACAGAAAGTAGAAGGGAGGGTGCTGGGGAACTGGGAAGCAGAACGGGGACCTAGCGTCAATGGGCTGAGTACAGACTTCCAGTTTGGACAGATGAAAAAGTTCAGGAGATGGGTGGTAAGGCAGTTGCATGGTATTTGAACATATTTAATGTCACTGTATGTGCAAAAATGGTGCAAGTGGTAAATGTCATGTATATTTTACCACAATTTTAAAAAGTAATGTGTCTGGAGATTTTTAAAAGTCTTGTCTCTGTCCTAATTGTTTATTAGTTGCATCTCTGTGTAGCATGATGCCTGTTTAAGTCTATTTTTCTGTTTCTAGTGACTGAATGACAGGCTAGATAATTTATGAAAACAAAGCTTTATTGAGCTTACGATTCTGAAGGTTGAGGGCCCACATGTGGTGAAGGTGTGCTCATTGGGGGACTCTTCTGCAGTGTCCTGAGGAGGCACAGGCATCGTGTGGCCAGAGGGCAAGAGTTCATATCTCTGGTCTCTCTCTCTCTCTCTTTCTTTAAAGCCACCAGGATTCCACCACAGGGACCCCACCTTAATGACTTTATCTAATCCTATTCACCTCCCAATGACCCCACCTTTTTTTTTTTTTTTCCTAATTTGCTATAGGTCATCTATGCTTCTGAACAGACACAGAGAAAGGGAGAGAGAGAGAAAAAGAGAAAGATAGAATGAAAGTGAGAAAGCACCCCCTACAGGGGATGGCCATGCTGCAATCCCTTCTCCATTTATTTCCCTCTTGGGATTTTAGTCACGCACACACAGATGACTACCATGAATTTCACGCTGCCAAGTTCAGGACTTGAACCATACAGTCTGCTGTATGGGATCCAGCCACCCCAACCACCACATCACTGGCTGACTCCAGTTAGTTAGTTTCTTCATCATTAGTGAGTTTCTGAATGCATCAAACTACGGTGTTGTGGGAAAATGGTATCTGAGCCACTTTCTTTGCCAAAGATTCTTCCATTCTAAACAAACGCCTTTGAGTCCATCTTTTGCTTGCGTATCAGCAACTGTGTTTTTAAAAACTTTTTTATTTGTTTATCTATTTCCTATTGGGAGAGCGAAAAATCACCCCATGAAGTGTGTTCATATTGAAATTCTTTTTCCTCCATTTCTCTATTCTGTCATGATTTGGAGGACACACACACACACATGTACACACATATGCCTGGCATGTTTTTCAAGCTGTCAGGGCCAGGACACAAACTGGGGTCTGCCACGTCGATGCAGCTCTGTACACACAGCACCCCACCCCTGTGCTACAGGGCTGGCCCGGCATTGTATTTTTCAGTCTTAGTGATCCAAAGTGCTGCTTCGTAAGACACCTGCCAAGTATTAATGTTTATAAAGGAAATACTGAAGAGATGCTTCTGTCAGATTTTTAACTTCTGACTCCTTCCTTAAAAGGATTATCTTGGTGGGGCCAACAAGTGACATAGTGATTATGTCACTGGACTCCCACATGACTGACTGTGGTTTGAGTCCCAGACCCAGTGACTTAAAAATCATGCCAGGTACATGTGTGTACATGCCCAAGATCCTAGGAGGAGAATGGAGGAGAAGGGATTGTGGTGTGGCCATGCCCCCTGGGGGTGATTT